CAATTTGTAAGATAGGAAGGGAGGGAGGGAGGAAGAAACAGAAGGAAGGAAGGTACAGAAAGAAGGAATAAGAGTTAAGAAAGGAAGGAAGGAAGGAAAGTTAAGAAAAGAAGGAAGGATAAACAGCTAGAGAGACCCTTGTAGTTTCATCTTTTGTTTTCCTGAAAGGGGTCCTCAGGTGACCCTCCTGAGGCCCCCAAAGTGAGCACCACCCCCTTTTCATATGTATGCATCTATGAAGTCACTTGCAGAGAAAGCACGAGAGGCCAGTATCCTTTTGCAAAGTTCCACCTTTGCAAGGGGAGTGATGCCACTGGCCGTGGGAGGCTGCTGATCATTAGAGGTCCTTCGGGGCATGTATGCTCATCTGTGGGTTCATATCTCTGAACATGAGGCAGGGACATCCCATAATAATAATTTAAAAAGGAACCTCTGGGTTAGGCGTTCACCTCCTGCAACCACGGATATCACCAGCATCTCCCCATTCCACAGGTGAGAGCTACTCAACAGCTACTCCAGCCAGCAGACTCTGGACGCAACATTGGGCAAGGAAAGAGCTCCCCTCATGCTCTTACAAACACACACACACACACACACACACACACACACACACACACACACATATATTAAAGAAGGAGAGCACCATTGTGCAGGACCCACTGACAAGGCACCTGCTAAGCTGGGTGTGCGCACGACTCCACTTACCTTCGCACAGCTTTCTTCCTCCACGCAACGATTACATTAGGTTCCGGTTGCAATGGAACCCAGCGGGCGTGGCGGGTGGGGGGCAGAGCTGCACACCCACACAGGGGCGAAGCCATGCAAGAGAGAGAGGTGGAGCTCCGCCCAGCGAGGCTGAAAACTGGAGGGTGCCCTTGCCCATTGGGCCAGTCCTTAGAAATGCCCCAAAGGCTCGGCCCCTTTTGCTTTCAGAGGCAGAAAGCCACTGAACTGCAGATGCATCAGCCCACCGGTCAGCTGTACTTGTAGCCTCGGGAACCATTTTAAAAGCAAACCGACAAGAGTTTGCACCTTTGGAACCTGGAAGTGTCTAATCGACCTCTAAAGCCACCCCTCAAGTTCAAAATCTTCCACCTTCCTTTCTTTAAAGGAAGCACATTGCTTGTTTCAGGTTTTCCTAAAAAGCAATCCATTCAATCTCTCATTCATCTCTTATCTCCCATCTCTGGGAGCTTAAAAACACCATAGACTGCCATGTTAAAACTAAATAATAACAATAATAGGAATTACCCTATGAAACAACCATATCAAAATAAACCTTGTGTAACTATTTAAAAGCACTTCATTTAACTTCTTAACTTGTGGCAATTCATTGCCAAGATTTACACAGATTCCAAGATGCCAGTTAACGAAACAGGATTTTGGCCACCATGGGGTTTATTTAATCCTCTTGGCCACGTTTTTCCTACATGTATACTATTCAACAGCCGTCCGCAGTCTGCTGGCGTTTTAGGGATCTGGATTTTTCTACCGCAGCCGGTAAGGCGTTCAATTTCTCTGTAGGGGACAGAAAGCGAGCGGAGAGGTCTCCCTGTGTTTGCTGCAACGCTATTTTGCTTCCATGCTGAGAGAGACCTCGTTTCTGCTTGGGGGGCAGCAAATGAAACGCCTCTTTGCCAAAGCCCCAAACATTTCAAAACAAGGACAAAAGTTCTCGGCTGCAACTTGATTGTTTTCCAAGGCACACGGAATATATTCTCAACGGAAAGTACCGAGCCAAAATTAGACACAGACACTCCATAAAAAGCACCCACAAGTCTGCATGTTTTAATCTCTTCCTGGCTAAGACCATTTCTCTGGCCCCCAACGTCCTCGTTCAAATGGAGCTGAACCTTCTCTTTTTTTCCACCTTAACAAGAGCCCCTGAGGAGGAACCCTTTGGACAAAACTCGAAAAAAGGGAGCGCCAGGGATCTCGGAGGAACAGAAACGGCGAGGGGGCCTTCCCTTCGCACCTCTCCAGAGATCCTACACCACCTCCCTGTTACCTGGGTGCCGGCGTCGTCTGGCGTCCAGCTCCGAGCTCTCCCCGTAGTGCGAGGCGGGCGTCCCGTCCCGTCCCCTCTCCCTTTCTCTTTCTCCCGGCCTCCTAGGGCCTCGCTGGGGTGGCGTGTCAGGGCCACGTCGCCGGCGGTCGTGGGAAGAAGACCTGGAGGACGGCCTGTCCTGGTGGGGTGGGGTCCGTGGCCCGTCAGGACGCGGGGAGCGGCTGGGCCGCCTCCTGGACCGCTTCTCCTCCTGGTCCTCAATGTTTCCATCGGTCGGCTTCAGAGACTTTTCCGAACCAGGCGACTGCCCTTCTCGATGCTTGCGATGCCTGTCGTGGGCCAGGCCGGCCCCTTCGACCTCCCAGTCCACAAGAGGGGAGGCCCTGGGGGGCCTCTCGCGGCTGCGTGGCCTCCTTTCTTGCCGCTCGCGGCTGCCGTGGCCGGCCTCCCGTCTTGGAGGCGAGGTCTCCCGCAGCCTCTCCGCGCTGGCACCGGGCACCTTTCCCTCCCTGCTCGCTCTGGTTCTGCTGCCGCCTCCCTCCAGGAGCCCATCCTCGGCATCCTTCCAAAGTTTCTCACGGCTGCCGGCCTTCTTCTCCCGCTGCGCCTCTCGGGGATGTCTCCGGCCACCCCTGGCCTTCTTCACATCGGAGGAGCTCCCCAAAACCTCCAGCTCAAGCCCCTCTGAAACCAAAGGGGGCCCCCTCGGGTCATCCCTTGTCTGCCGGGGTGGCCTGTCGGCACTCCCAGACCGAGAAGGCTCTGACGGCTGCCCGGTGGGGCTACCAGGCTGACGGTCTGAGCACGGGAGGGAGGAAATAAAGAAGGGAGGCGGGTTAGTGACACACACGTTAATGGCAGGCACAGGCTTCTGGAGCGGCATGCGGCACAACTGGAGGGATGCAGAAAACGGGAGCAGGTCAAGGAAGGAAGGCAGCTAGGCAGGCAAGGGGGAAACCTGGCAAGGAAGGAAGGAAGGGAGAGAGGCCGGGAGCAGAACTGAAAACACACGAGGGCTGGGCACACACGACCACACCATGGGCGAAGGCTGGGCGTTGCCTGAAAGCAAGTGACAACGTGGATCCAGCCCGTTCAGCCAAGCTTGTTAGTGCAGGAGAAACACTTGGGGGATTCCAACGTTTGGTGGAATCATTAGCTGATTCGATGCAGAGCTGCTGAGACATGTTGGGAGGACATGGGGGACGTTTCCTTCCACCTGCCATTTGAGAGGGTGGGGAAGAGCCTCGGAGAAAGCAAAGAGCCCCAAGATCCCAAGGAGAGCCCCAACAGGCAGAACCGGAAGAAGGAGAGAGAGAGCATGCAGAGGCGAGGAGGCAGATTCCACCCGGAGAAACCAGGACCACCACCCGCAGCAGCGAAAGAAGGCCAATGTCCAGCTGCCATCCCAGCAGTCATCCTTGGGGCTGTGGCTCTGTCGGTCGCAGAAGCCCTTGTTCAGAGAAGAACAGAAGATCCAGAAAGCAGCCCAACTTTCCCGCAGGGTTCAGCCATCTTGGACAAAGGCGACGGAGGGACCGAAGAGCACGACAGCCCGCCCCGGCCAGGGTGGTGGCACGCCTGTCTCGTGCGCCCGTTCTCCTCCAGCAACGGTGTCCTTCCTGCCACGGTGCCGCCGCCACCACCACCATCGAGACCCTCGGGCTGTTTTTCCAGGCCAGAAAGGAGGAATGCTCACCGCGGTGAGGAAAGCGTGGAATCAGCGCCAGAGATGGGAGCCCCCGCCTCATTTCACCCCCATTGATTGCCACTTGAAGAGATTACGATCAAGGTCTGCATTTTGCCCGCAAAAGCACTCAAGAGCCCCACACACCAGACGCTCAAAACGAAGGAAGGAAGGAAGGAAGTGTGAAGTGTGTGCATTCCAAAGGAGCCCTACAACCCAGGGGCAGAAGCACTAGCTTTGCCTCTTTCTAAGAGGGCTTTCTTCTCCTAAGTCCCTTCTACGAACTGTTTCTCAAGCTCCCTCGGGTTCAAGAAGTAGCGAGAGAGCTGAGGAAAGCCAAACCAGACCCGAGAGCCGCGGTGACGACACGGGCCTATCCCTGCCTGTCTCTTAGCCAAGACTTTCCGGGTGAGAGGTATGGACCGCAAAGTCAAGCCAGAACCCACGGCCCCGGCTGCTTCCCTCTCGCCTCGGCTCACCTCTGCTCTCCAACGAGTAGCCTTCTTCTTCGTATGGGCTGGGCCGCCCTGCTTCCGGCGGAGGTTTTTTCCTCCTCTTTTCCCCTTGGAGCTCCTTCTGTTGCAGGATCCGAGCAATGTCCTAAAGGGAGGAGGGGGTCAGAAGAGGAAGAAAGAGGTCACGGATCAACTTTCCCGAGAGCCTCTGAAGTCTTTTCCCACAGGGACGGATTCTCCCCAAGACGCCCCGGCGCTCCTCCATCAAGGGAGGCACCAGCCCAAGAGGCCTGGGTTGCAAACTCCACCATGTGGGAAAAGGCTCGGTCTCGGGCCGTGGGCGGCTCCATCGGCCCCTCGTCCTTCAAGGCAAGAGTCCAGCAATTGTGTGTGTGTGGTTTTTGTTTTTAAATTTGCAGAGTTACAGGTCAAAATCCCACCCTGGGACTTTAAAAAACAAAAAAACTGGCACAAGATGAAACACATTCCTCTCTGCCCACAACCTTCAGGTTTACCTCATCGTCCTCTTCCTGCCGGCGCCGCTGTTCTGCTTCGATGACCAGCTTGACTTGAATTTCCTGAGCGATCTCGCAGTCCTGCCGCTCGCTGAAAAGAGAAAGGGGGGAGAGAAGGGAGAAGTTAGCAGAGAAAAGGTGCAAGGGAAAACGGCCCGAAGGGCTCAGGCGGCCGGTCACCCCTGCAAGGTTTGATCTCCTTTCCAATTTGGACATAGCCCCCCCCCCAAATGAGGCCCTTCAAGAAAACTTGTAGTACAGCACATTCCCCACCCCACCCCAAAAACAGCCAAGCCAGGACCCTTCTCGGCCCTGCTCCCTTCAGAACCAGGGAAGTGAACTCAGAGCTATCATCACACAAACCAGGGACTTTAAGGGAAACCCCGGAAGGAGGGATCCAGACCCTGGGAGAGCCAGATGTTGAGCCCAGAGCTTGAGAACCCCAACACGGCCACTCAATCCACTCCAAAAAGGAAGCATCCCGGACGGGCGCTTAGAGGGTGCCAATGACCCAAACGTGGCAGAAATGGTCATTTAACAAAGCAACCATTAATCTGGCCACCACTACCCAGGAGAGCAACTGAAAATCCAGGGAACTGTGGTTTAATATAAAGAGGCTGGACCCTGGACAATCCAGCATTTATCCCTTGATAAAACTAACTTGGTCACAAGCAGCTCCTCCCTAAGAGGAGCTACAGAAACTGGGAGAGGGAAGGAGGGAAGGAGTCTTGTATCACGTGAACAAGGGCCCCCCAAACAAGCCAGCGTTTATAAACCAAGAACAAACCCAGTTTTATAATCCTGGTTTGTTTGGGAGCAGAACACCCAGATTCTCAGTTCAGATGACAACGCTGGGCATGCCCCAGACACGCAGGGTTGCTACTGAAATTTTATTTTTCATTTCCCTGACATTCCCTGACTACCATTCAAATATAACCACAAGTTAAAAAATGAACAGGTTGTCTTGCATTAATGCAAGTCTTAATTAAAAAGTTCCACTCTACAATGACATAAGTCTCAACTGCAACAACATCTGTTGAAGAGATTTAATATCAGCTTCTTTCAACATTAACTGCAGCAACATCTGCTTTGCGATTGCACCAAAAATTACACCAAGGTAAAAACTTCAATTCAAGTAAACTCTGAATGCTAACAAATGACATAACATTTTTGTTATTGCTTTAAAGGGACGCTAAAAATTATACAGACATTCTATCTAAACTGGTTTCTCTGAAGCCACGTTATGAAACTTAGTTTTGAAACTGCAATAATAATCAAGTTAGATGGTGCAGAGTAGAAAGTGCTCACTGACAGCAGCAAAACTCATTTGCAGCTCTTCACCGGGTTTAGAAGGAGACAGGAAGTCCATTCCATACACAGGTAAAGGTAAAGTTTAAGGTTCCTGTGACAATTTGTCCAGTCCAATTTGTCCGACTCTAGGGCGCGGTGCTCACCCCCGTTTCCAAGTCGTAGAGCCAGCGTTTGTTTGAAGATAGTTTCCGTGGCCACGTGGCCAGCGTGACTAGACACAGCACAAATCAAATGGTCTCTGTAGCCCAACTTTCCCCCAGCTGGACTTCCGCTTCCATCTAACACAGTGGCCTAAAGACTAAATTGAAACAGCGACACACCATTGATGTGTGTGTGTGTGTGGGGGTGGGTGTGCGCGCGTGCGCACACACACACATGCACACTGAGGAACTGAATTGAAACAGCAACACACCATTGGTGTGTGTGTGTGTGTGTGTGTGCGCGCGCACGCACTACTTAGAAGAATTTCCTGCCGTAGCCCAGGGGAACAGATATGAGCTGTCCAGAGGAGAATTCTCAGCCCCTTGCCAGACTACGAATCCCATGACAAGAGGCAACACTGGCCAGCAGCAGGTGGCTCTCCAGGTCAACGGGCAAGACTCCTCCTCCCCACCCCTGGCTGGAGAGGATGCCTCCGGGGAGGGGCCCCTTGAGCTGGGACCCAGCAGCAGCACCCGGCCCACTCACAGATCTTTGTGTTGCTTCTGGTTGCGGGCTCGCGCCTTGCGGTCCTCCTCCTCCTGCAGCTGCTTGGCCATCTGCAAGTCATGCTGGACGAGGCGGTTGCGCTGGACGTTGGTGGCCAGATGGTGTTCAACTGCAAGGGGAAAGGAAGGCAACGCAATGAAGACCTAGGCTCCTGGGGTGGGGTGGGAGCAACTGCAGAGGGGTGGTCGCAAGAGGAACCCACAAGGTCAGCGCTTTAAGGCCACCGATCTTCTCAACCTGGGTCATTGGGTATGAGGGTGGTCAAAGGTCACGGATACCCAAGATTCCAGTTATTTTGCAGCTGCCACACTCCAGGGAAAACATCTGCAGATATCCATCCATCCATCCATTCTCTCAGTCCATCCATCCATCCTCTCAGTCCGTCTATCCATCCTCTCAGTCCGTCCGTCCGTCCATCCATCCATCCATCCATCCTTCCATCCATCATCCATCTCAGTCCATCCATCTTCTCAGTCCGTCCGTCCGTCCGTCCATCCATCATCATCATCATCATCATCATCATCATCATCATCATCCATCCATCCATCCATCCATCCATCCATCCATCCTCTCAGTAAGTCCGTCCGTCCATCCATCCATCCTCAGTCCATCCATCCATCCATCCATCCTCTCAGTCCGTCCGTTCGTTCGTCCATCCATCCAATCTCTCAATCCATCCATCCATCCATCCATCCATCCATCCATCCATCCATCCATCCATCCTTCCTCAGTCCGTCCGTCCATCCATCCTCTCAGTCTGTCCGTCCGTCCATCCATCCAGCCAGCCAGCCAATCTCAGTCCATCCATCCATCCATCCTCAGTCCGTCCATCCATCCATCCATCCATCCATCCATCCATCCATCCTTCCTTCCTCAGTCCGTCCGTCCGTCCATCCTCTCAGTCTGTCCGTCCGTCCATCCATCCAGCCAGCCAGCCAATCTCAGTCCATCCATCCATCCATCCATCCATCCATCCATCCATCCATCCATCCATCCATCCATCCATCCATCCATCCATCCATCCATCCATCAAGCCAGCCAGCCAGCCAGCCAGCCAGCCAGCCAGCCAATCTCAGTCCATCCATCCCACTGAGAAGGCTCCGTTCCTCGCGGCAGATGTTTTCCAGGCCTCTCTTTGGTGACCACTTGCAACAACGCAGCCTGAGATGATCGGGTGGCCCAGGTGGTAGATCCTAAGACAGCGAGAGAGATGCTCCAACAAATACCAAGGTCCCAAACGAGGAAGGGCTTTATATGTTAACACCAGCAGCTTGAATCTGGCACAGAAGCAAGCAGGGAGCTTGCCGGGGTCAGGAAGATATGATCAAATCTAGAAATGCTCTGGCATCCACATTTTGCATCAGCTGCAACTTCCATGCCAGTTTCAAAGGCAGCCCCACGGACAGAGCGTTGCAGCAGTCAATCCTTGAGACTGCTGACGCATGAATGAGGGTGGCCAGCGATTTCCTGCCCAGATGGTACTGTAAGGCCATCCAAATCAAAGTACAACAAAACAGGCAGATCGCAGCAGTCGAGTCATCCATTTCTGAGCCAGGGGTGTGCGCGCGGGGAGCTGGCACCCATCCACCCACACGACACACTGGACCTCTGAGCAGAAAGCGCCCAGCTGCTCCAACAGTGCACCCTACTACGCTAACCCAGCATGGAGGAGGCTTGTTCTCCAGACTCATTTCCTCCCATCTCTGCTGGTTGTTAGAAAGCCCAGCGTGGTGCTGGGTTCTGGATTCAGCATCCACAGAATGCTTCCCTGCATTCGGTTTGGGTGCTTTCTTTGTTCCCCGAGTCTTCCGGGCGTTAAGACAGGCCGGTGGGTTCCCTCTTTCAAGCAGCCACACTTTTAATTCCTTTTCTGATCTGCAGAAAATTTCAGCCCATGTTTTAACGTTTCTGTAACCTGTTATAACATACGATACCATTTCAGTCTTTTTTAAATGGCCTTCCTTATCACATGTACTGTTTTGATTGAGTTGCAGTAAGCTTGTAAGTGGTTTTGAATTATCTGCACAGCAGAAGCTGGAGATAAACACTTCCATAAATAAATGATGGGCTTGGAATATGCTGATATTTTGGAAGTCACACTGATGATCGAATTAGATTTTCCACCCTCGGTGGGCTGATGGGTCTCTGCCTTACCCAAAATCAAGTCAAACTGGCCTGGAGCAAAAGGCATACAAGATACAAAAGTGCACAACATATGAGGGCATAACACTGAACACACACCTCACAATGATTATGCAAATGATATGCACAGTTGTATTTGAAATCTAAAGAAGGATACCTAATGGAAACAATATGGGCAGGGAACAGAATCTAGTTCCATCTGTCTGATAAGACTTACTTTCCTGTTCTTGCAGGCTGTGAGCAAGCGTGTGATCCTCCAGGACAGCAAAATCTCGACACACTGTGAGAGGCAAAAAAAAAAAAAGACATTTATCAAGACGAGGAAGAAGAGGCAATGTAAAAACAGGCAAGGAAACTGGGACTCTCCTGCCGCAGCCCACAAGCTCCTCTTGGGAACAAGGCAGTAGAAAAAAGAGGCTCTCCCCCAGTCTGTCTGTCTGTCTGTCTTTCAATGTCCAAGACAGAAAGGGGGTCCCTTTTAAGAGGGCGAGGGCACAGCCTGCCACCCCTGAAATGTTACCCCTGTCAGAAGGCAGCTCTTTGCTGTGGAGCAGCGCGAAGACGAGGACAGGAGCCTGCCCTAAAGACCAGAGCACCTTACGTTTCTGCTCGGGTTCTCACCCACCCACCTACCTCCCACTTCATCGGGGGGGTCTCGCAGGCCACCGATGAACAAGAGGCATTGAGAGACGACAAGGAACTCAGGAGTTTCCAAGGCTAAAGCTTTGATGGAATGGCAGAAGAGAAGTCCAACAAGGACGCAAGAATGGGAAGCTGCTCAGCTCTCATCATCTCCACAGAAGATAAGGTGACAAACTCTGGGGGAGTCGTCACCCGCAAGGACGCAGGAGGAGGTTAGGCGTTCCCCCGCCCCCTGCTCTGCCTCGCTGTCCGTAATGTGTCCTAAATGTCTTTAGAGTCTTGCTCCTTTTGAGAAACAAGTCACACTGACACAGCAAGCCAAGGAAGACATGAAGAAAGACACAAGCAACCCATCCGGTGCTTTAGACACTGAAGGCATGAACTCCCCCAGTTCAAGACAAATCACACAATGACACGAATAGCAGATTTGTACAAAAAGGGGCTCTGGGTTTTGTAGGAGACATCATTCTTCCCAATCGTACAGAGAACCCCAGATATTTCCTCTCGTTCTTACCACCCAGGGGAAGGTCCTTGCATGCGTTGTCCACCCCGCAGGAGGACAAGACAAGGAAGGCTTGACAAGCCAGGGGGGGAGGAGGAGGAGGAGATGTAACCCTGCCCTTTTGATCCTGCTGAAGCATCAGCCGCCAGAGATTTTTAAACCCTGCAAAGCACCAATAGGCATTCAACCAGAAGAGGGAAGTCGCCTTCCTGACTTTTCCAAGGAACGCACCAGAGTGGCGTTCGTGCCACCCAATACTTGAGCCAAACCACGTTCCTGCTGAGGTGGGCAGAGGCTGGGGCCCCTGAAACTCTGGACGGGACTCTGGATGGGTGCCACCTGACCAAAGTTCACCCAACTCCACTGTTAAGTCTTGCAGCGGGTCCCGATTGTACCGGCTCTATTTGTCCAAGCTTTCATCCCAATCAGCATTGCCTTTCTCGGCTGCTGGTACGGTCCTTTAGCAGACATGCGTCATTTCTGATCGTAAATATACCACGCAAAACAAAGCAAGAAAACAAAAACATGGGGCATCTGAAAAGGCTAACTATTGCATTTTATTGTGAGCTTTCGTGGACACGTCCACCTCCTCAGACATATGGAAACAGAATGAAATGCTGAATGAAAGATCAGTTTCATACTATATATTGACTGGCTCTTGGATGTGCGTTACAGTGGCATGCCGTAACTGATGGCTTCTATTGTTTTGGGGCTCTGCTGTAAAAATTCCTCAGGAGACAGAAAACAGACACCAGGCCTGGGCAAAGATGAGAGGGGAGAGAAAAGAGAGAGGGACGGCAGCGGGGTTCTGGAGATTGGGGGTTCACATAAAACTCAAGATGGAGAGAAAAAGAGAGTTATAAATATAAAGATGAAAGAAGACAGCAGAGGGAATGTAGGGAATATGGACCGCAAAGGACATACATGGTCAAGGGAGGTGTATCATCATCCCCATCTCAAGCACCCTGCTTTGAATGCTACACAACGACCCTGTTTGGAGGGGCAGCATCCAGAGTCACAAAAGCTGGCCTCCTCCAGTAGGAGAGGGAAAGAAAACATCTACTTCCAGAAATCTAGCCACGAGGATCTCTCAAAAGACCAATAAACGCCTATCAGCCAGGAATGGCTTTGCAGGCCTGTGGTTATTGTAGATTATGGACTTAATCTGTTTCTCTTTTAATGGAATAACTAAATGGATTATTACAGGAGCATTTAATTGTTCTCTGCTCCAGGCCTTTGGGATACATCATACAATACAGTCCATTCTCTTCCTATTATTATTATTATTATTAAAATTTTAATTGAGCTGCATTTTTAAATTCTACCATGCACTTCCCAAAAAGTAGGTTTTAAAATCCCCCCCCCCCGAGTAAGGTAGGCGAGCGCAGCAATTCTAGGAGGCAAAGCAGTACTAAAGCAAACAAACAAAGACCCAGCAATAATAAAGCATCTAAAAGGGATATGCTCTCAATGTTTTCAAGTCACACAATGAGAAAGGAAAAGTAGAGGCTGTTTCTGGTGAGCATTCAAGGTAAAAGGACTGGGAGCAGTGGTGGAGGAAGGGAAAAAGAAGCTGGGTGCTGAGGGACCTGGTTTGGAGAACAAGAGGCTGGGTTTGGGTGTAGCCAGGGTTGATTACAAGGCTCTGAAGGGCCCTGGGCAAAAAAAATGTAATAGTGGGGCCCCTCTTCCTCTTCCGTCCCTCTCCCGTACCTCCTACCTAAAAAGGTCACACAACATGAACAATGTACTGTAAGTGAAAGGAGGAGGAGGAGACCCACAGGTCTTCTGATAAGAAGAATTTTACAAACACACCATTTTAAGGCATAAGTTTGGTGTATTGTGCCAACGAGCAGGAAATGCACAAACCTTGCACATCGTGCACAGAGAGACAGAAATGCTCCTTTCCACCCCTACGGAAGAGGCTGGAGCTCGGAGGCTGGGGGGGGGGAAGGGGGCAGACAGGCTGGCAACCCTCTGAAGGGAGATACTCAAAGCAGCAGAATGCTCCTGGTCACCAAGGAGGCTGATTTCATGTCGAAGGAAGACTCTGGTTGCAAAGCAGCCTGCCTCTCGCAAGAGCTTGAAAAGTTACTCTGCTTTTTTGGACCCCAACTCCTGGGACTGCACAGCTGTCATCCAACCACTCATCCCCCCCCCCCGGTGACTACTTCCCCAGGTTTGTGAGGTCCTTCTAGAGGGAAGGCATCCCACAGCATTTCCTAAGCCAAATGCCCAAAGGAGTTTGTAGGGAAGCTGAAAGGGAACAGTCCAGGGAATGGCTGCTTTAAGGCAGCAAATCTTGAGATACCATCGGTTATGCACCTTGCACAGATGTTTATTTGCTGGTTCTGAACATTATACACAGAGAGAGAGAGAGGTAGGGGTATTCCGGATCTGGCCCACGTCCGCAGTCATCAGCTTGGGTGGCTTTGAGGCTTCCCGCTACAGGAAGCGGACGCCTTCCCACTTCTGAGAGACCCCTCCAGAGTGTGTTGCTGTAGCAGACGCACTTCAAGGAAACCGCATGCCAAAGCAGCATCGTTTGGGGTGAAAAACAACACGCCCGGTCCAGCAAAGCGCTGAATGAAGCACTAAACCCGTGGACCTTTCCAGTGCTCTGTGCAAGGGGATCAGTCCATGCCAGCCTCTCACGCTAGGGCTGGTGTGTTTCTTTCTCCTGGAAATCTGCTTATCTTGGAAGGGGCAAAACAAGCCACAGGTCTTAAAACTGCAAACAAGGAAAAGGTGGCTTCCTTTTCTCTCTTCTGAAATGCACCCCATTCCCTTGAAAAGCAGGCACCCTTTTGTCCACAAACAGAGGGGAAGAGAAAGACGCTTGACTTCCGAAATGAAATGAACGAACTCCACCAAAGCCCACGGGATCAGCTGCATTTTAGAGCTAGGCCTGCGAACACTGCCAGGAGGCAGATCCAGAGAGAAGCTTACTAAAATGAGAACACGAGCCGCTATCGGGACAAACATCTTCAAGTCCCCCTGTTTAAGAGCCACGGACAAGATTTTTGCCTATGATGATGATGATCATGACTGATATCTGTGCATGACCGTGACATTACAGAGCCAAAAACCTGCGACTGTTTATTATTTACTCACAGAGTTTACCTGCTCCTCTAATAACCTTGGGCCGTTTTGCCGCATCAATTTTTCTGTACATTCCCAAGGGTGGGGATAATAAAAACATAAAAATGGTGCAAAATACCGTACCAAATTCCCAGAATGGACAAGAATTCTGATGGCGTTAACAGATCAACAACCGCAGAGCAGATACCCTGAAAGACCTATAAATGGCAGGAGAAGAATCGTGCCACCTGGTGCCACAGAACAGGGTTTTACTCAACCCCCGTATGAATTTCATGGCAGGAAGGAGGCTATACCAGGTGGGACAGGCATCCATCACAGGAATCCACCCACCCATCATGGTCCCCCCTCCACTCCGATTACTTACGAACAAGCATCAGTCTCAAGAGAAAACAAAGTGCCTCCAGGATATAAACACAAGATATGTGATTTGGGTTTTTTTTCCCTATTGCAAAAGGGCTAAAACAGCACCTCTCGGAGGCACTTTCAAGCTGGATGAAGAACGACACGAAGGGTTGGAAAATCGGCAGCCTTGATTATATATCCCTTCTGTCATGGTTGATGGCCACATTCTGTGGCTCTTGATCCCTCTCTAATTGCAATTCACTCCTTATGCTTGCTAACAGCCAGGGAACATGGGACGCGCCATCCTGCACGGCAGCTGGCGCCAACTTAGGACCTCTTTCCTCCCACACCTCTTCGGTTCCTGATCCAGACGGTGGCTGGACCGACTTAACCAACCACACCCACAAAGCGCTCCAGCTTTGCTAAGGTTTGATTTACAGCTTATCGGTATCCACAATTATTTGTTTGTTTGTTTGTTTGTTACACTTTTATATCATGCCATCGGGCCTGGGGCCACACTGGGCAGGGTACCACAGAGAACCAAACGCAAGGAAGGATCATAAAACACAAGGCGACAAATGGATATGAGATCATAAAAATAAAATAATGAACAGAACAAAAACTTAGAAATCAACTACAGTAGAGTTAAACTGAACAACAAATAAAATGCAAAATTAATGAACAGAAAATAT